TTGTATGCGTGTGTGTGTGTGTGCTGGACAGTGAGCCCCATCAGCTGCCCCCTTTGTGCCCACGTCACCATGTCCTTGTCCACGTGGAACATGCCCCCCATGAGCGTGGGAGCTTCAGCCTTGGCTGCGTGTCGGTGACCCCCCCAGCCCTCTGCAGTAGCTCCCTGGACCCCTCCCAGCCCTGCAAGGCTGCTGTGGGCCGCCTTCACACTTTCTCCGCCGACCACTGCCCACTGTTGTGCTCAGCCCTCGCCAGGCCCCGCAGGCCCCGTCCTCCCACAGCAGCGCTGGCAGGAAGCTAAGGGCGACTGCCTGACCGTGAGCCTCGCGGCCCGCGGACGCAGCCACAGCAGAGATTCCGCATGCCGTGCTCCCGCCCGACCCCACGGCCAGTGTCCACTTCCTCCCAGCCGTGCCGCCAGGTCCCCAGCCACAGAGGCCCCTCGACAGGCCCATTTTCAATCCTGATCATTGTGGTTCGGGTCCCCTGCTTCCGGGAAGGCGCACACCACCCCTCGGCGTGACCCAGAGGTCTCAGGCCCCCGTCCGCCTCTCAGCGTCCTCCATTTCTCTCCTGTCCACGTCTGTAAGCTCAAGCCAGACGTTCACCGTCTTTGACCCCTTGCCCTCCCCGTCCCGCCAGAAGAGGGGGCCGTCGACACTTGCTCCTCTGACTCACCTCAGCGTGCGCGAGACCCCGGTTGCATCCCAGCTGCAGCGAAATGCAGGTTCCCGCGTCTGCATCTTGGTCCACGGTGCGTGCCTGGGTTGGTCCCCTCCCCTGGCTGCCGGGCCAGGTTCTACGGTGGGTAATAATGGGTCAGCTCCATCCCCGGGCTGCCGCGCTGGGGGCCACAGGGGGTAGTGGTGCGCGTATGCTCTTCCCGGTGAATACTTGCGTGTCCTGGGGGCAGATACCAAGGCTTGCCATTACTGGGTCCTCTGGAGGCTCTGCCCGTGCTGTTCCATCTCCATCCTGTTTTCCGTGGGACGGGGGAGGGGAGGGGGGAGTGGACTTACGTGCGTCTGTGTTTTCTTCCACCCATTCTCACAAGTCCTCCCACACTGCCTGCCCCTGGGTACCACGGGCTCTGCCCCAGTCCCCAGGCTCCTCCAGATCGGCCATGTGGCTAGATCACTCCTGCCGTCCCCCACCCCCGACGCCCAGGGTCACCATCCGAGAGAGTCCAGATTACCTCCGTGCTGGCCTGTTTGCGTGACCCTCTCCTCTCCTCCGCCTGGACGCGTCTGGCTCACCTCTGCCGCAGCTGGACATCCCGGGCTCTCAGAGGCACATAGAGACCACAGCCCCCCTATGCCGGCGCCGGAAGCTCAGCGGAAGGAGAGATGGATGAGAAACAGAGAGAAGCTCTTCCAGCCAGAGAGGGGGGCCGCCTGGCCCCCGCCGCCCCAGCGACCGTCTCTCCATCACACTTCTCACAGTTTCTAATGACCTGCTTCTCTGTCCCTTCTCCCTTTGCCCTCCTGCGTCTCCGCTCCGCCACCCTCTGGCACGGAGGCAGGCGGCTCCGTGCTGGAAAGAGCTTCTCCGACCAGCCATCCCGTCCACGCCCAGCCAGGGCAGCAGCTGGTCAGCGCTCAGGATCAGTGGGCAGGGCCAGAGGAGACCGCACAGGGCGAAGGCACAGCCAAGGCAAGACGCCAACCCCGGCTCCATCCCTGAACACAACCAGGAGGGACCCCTGAGTCCAGAGCCAGGAGCGGACCCTGAGCACGGCCAGGTTTGCACCCGCCACCACTGATTTCCAGAAAACGGTGGAAATCGCCCTCCCAAGGAGGGACCAAACCCCCGTGTGCCTCTGCGTGCTGGGATATGAAGCAGGAGCCGTGAGGACCCCCCCCCCCCCCAGCCAGGGACACTCTGCTGATGGTACGTGGTCCGAGGGCCAGCGTGCACGGAGAGGGCTGGGTCACAGGCTTCTCACGCCGGGCCATGGACGCGAGCCCCCCAGCATTTCATGATCCCCTGAGCGGCCCTCAGGCCGAGGGCAGCTCCTCACCCCACTGGAGGTGACCCCAAATCAAAACAGAAAGAGGAGGCGGCTGGACGATGCATCGAGGTGGCCCCGAGGCAGAGCCTCTGTGCAGTGGGGCCCATGCCGGGCCCGACCCCGTGCCCAGGTGCAGAAGGGACGAGGCCAAACCTGGGCTGGTGCCAGGGGCTCACAGGTGACCAGCAGCTACAGCGGGGGTTGGGGAGACGGGACCCCCGTGCAGGTGCAGAAAGCAGCCCCCACTGGGCCGGTCAGCAGGGACCCTGGGAGCGGCCAGGGAGCAGCAGGCAGAGGGAGGAGGGGGCAGGAAGGACAGGAGCCAGGCGGGGAAGCCAGGTGGGCGGTGCCCGGCCGCCTCCTAACGCACATCCCCCACGTTCCCCGGGCACAGGCAAGGGACCTTGACCGGGTTTATGATTTATTGCTCCACTCAACAAATAATTGCCTGAGCAGACCCCGCGATGTGAGAGAGCCTTCCGCGTGGATCAGACATCAATCCTGCTCGCCCCGCCTGCTGGGAGCTGCGATGGCCCGATGGCCCGCCAGCCACCAAGGGAGGAGACAGTTGGGGTGGGCCGGGCAAAGGAGACCGGGCTGCCCCTGCTCACGTGGGCACCCCGGGACAGGGCGCGTGTCCGTGTCCGGGACAGGGCCAAGGTCCAGGGCAGAGCGCGTGTCCCGGAGAGCGTGTGTCCAGGATGCAGTGCATGTCTGGGGTACACGGCAGCGCGTGTGTCCAGAGCAGAGAGTGCCCAGGACCAGAGAGTGCCCAGGACAGAGAGTGCCCAGGACCAGAGAGTGCCCAGGACCAGAGAGTGCCCAGGACCAGAGAGTGCCCAGGACAGAGAGTGCCCAGGACCAGAGAGTGCCCAGGACCAGAGAGTGCCCAGGACCAGAGAGTGCCCAGGACCAGAGAGTGCCCAGGACAGAGAGTGCCCAGGACCAGAGAGTGCCCAGGACCAGAGAGTGCCCAGGACAGAGAGTGCCCAGGACCAGAGAGTGCCCAGGACCAGAGAGTGCCCAGGACAGAGAGTGCCCAGGACCAGAGAGTGCCCAGGACCAGAGAGTGCCCAGGACCAGAGAGTGCCCAGGACAGAGAGTGCCCAGGACCAGAGAGTGCCCAGGACCAGAGAGTGCCCAGGACCAGAGAGTGCCCAGGACCAGAGAGTGCCCAGGACAGAGAGTGCCCAGGACCAGAGAGTGCCCAGGACCAGAGAGTGCCCAGGACCAGAGAGTGCCCAGGACAGAGAGTGCCCAGGACCAGAGAGTGCCCAGGACAGAGTGCCCAGGACCAGAGAGTGCCCAGGACCAGAGAGTGCCCAGGACCAGAGAGTGCCCAGGACCAGAGAGTGCCCAGGACAGAGAGTGCCCAGGACCAGAGAGTGCCCAGGACCAGAGAGTGCCCAGGACCAGAGAGTGCCCAGGACCAGAGAGTGCCCAGGACAGAGAGTGCCCAGGACCAGAGAGTGCCCAGGACCAGAGAGTGCCCAGGACCAGAGAGCGCCCAGGACCAGAGAGTGCCCAGGACAGAGAGTGCCCAGGACCAGAGAGTGCCCAGGACCAGAGAGTGCCCAGGACAGAGAGTGCCCAGGACCAGAGAGTGCCCAGGACCAGAGAGTGCCCAGGACAGAGAGTGCCCAGGACCAGAGAGTGCCCAGGACCAGAGAGTGCCCAGGACCAGAGAGTGCCCAGGACCAGAGAGTGCCCAGGACCAGAGAGTGCCCAGGACCAGAGAGTGCCCAGGACCAGAGAGTGCCCAGGACCAGAGAGCGCCCAGGACCAGAGAGTGCCCAGGACAGAGAGTGCCCAGGACCAGAGAGTGCCCAGGACCAGAGAGTGCCCAGGACCAGAGAGTGCCCAGGACAGAGAGTGCCCAGGACCAGAGAGTGCCCAGGACCAGAGAGTGCCCAGGACAGAGAGTGCCCAGGACCAGAGAGTGCCCAGGACCAGAGAGTGCCCAGGACCAGAGAGTGCCCAGGACCAGAGAGTGCCCAGGACAGAGAGTGCCCAGGACCAGAGAGTGCCCAGGACCAGAGAGTGCCCAGGACAGAGAGTGCCCAGGACCAGAGAGTGCCCAGGACCAGAGAGTGCCCAGCACAGAGTGCGCCCAGGGCAGAGCATGTGTCCGGGATAGAGCATGTCCAGGGCAGAGTGTGCCAAGACAGTGTGTGTGTCCAGAACAGCACGTGTGTCCAGGGCAGTGCATGTGTCCAGGGCCGCGCGTGTGCAGGGCAGCGCGCGGCTCCCCTCCCGACCCCTCCCCTCCAAGTCCCAGTCTAACGGCCAGCAGGAGGAAGCTTCTGAGCTGACTGTCCGCGCTGGCCCGCCGGGGTCCTCCAGCCCTGCAGGAGTGCGGGGGGCGGCCGGGCACGGGGGTCACCAGCGCGGCGGGGGCGCAGGGGTCGCCCGGGAGGAGGCAGCGGCGGGCCCGGGAGGGGCGGGCACAGGGACGAGCGAGCGCGCCTGCGCGGCCGAGGCCACGCCCACCCCGAGACCAAGGCCCCTGCGAGACCACGCCCCCGCCGAGGCCACACCCCGCCGAGGCCACACCCCGCCGAGGCCACGCCCCAGGTTAGGTCACGCCCCGACGAGGCCACGCCCCGTTATGAGCCACGCCCCCCAGGGCGGGGCCGCGCAGGCGCGGCGCGGGCGGAAGTGGCGGCGATGCGAGCGGCCGGCGGGGCGGCGGCGGCGGCGGGCGCGGGGCCCGAGGTGACGCGCGGAGCCCCCCGGGGGTCCCGCGGGCCGGGAGGGCGGGGCGGGCCGGGACCCCCGGGCGGCCGCGGGCAGCGGGCGGGGCCGGCGGCGGGCCGGATCCCGCCGAGACCCACTTCCGGCCCGCCGCGTCCCGCCCCGGAGCCGCGCGGGGGTCCCGGCGGGGGTCGCGCCCCCGGGCCTCGCGTGGGCGTGTCCTCGCGCGGGTCCACGGCGACGGGCCTCCCCGAGCCCCCGGCCCGCACTGACCGCCGTGCCCCGCCCCCGCAGAGACCGGAACCAGCACCGGGCCGAGCCCGCCCGACGGCCGCCGCCGCGGGCCGCTGTAAGTGCCCCCGCCCCGCCCAGGCCCGGACCGTCCGGGGGGCCCGGCGCTGTCCAGGGTCCAGACTTCCAGGGTCCTACTATCCAGGGGTCCAGACTGTCCAAAGGTCTGGACTGACCAGGGTCCTGACTGTCCAGGAGGGCCAGCACTGTCCAGGGATCCAGACTGTCCAGGGGTCCAGACTGTCCAGGGTCCGGACTGTCCAGGGGGCCCGGCGCTGTCCAGGGGTCCAGACTTCCAGGGTCCTGACTATCCAGGGGTCCAGACTGTCCAGGGGGCCCGGCGCTGTCCAGGGGTCCAGACTTCCAGGGTCCTGACTATCCAGGGGCCCAGACTGTCCAGGGGGCCCGGCGCTGTCCAGGGGTCCAGACTTCCAGGGTCCTACTATCCAGGGGTCCAGACTGTCCAGGGGGCCCGGCGCAGTCCAGGGGTCCAGACTTCCAGGGTCCTGACTATCCAGGGGTCCAGACTGTCCAGGGGGCCCGGCGCTGTCCAGGGGTCCAGACTTCCAGGGTCCTGACTATCCAGGGGTCCAGACTGTCCAGGGGGGCCCGGCGCTGTCCAGGGGTCCAGACTTCCAGGGTCCTGACTATCCAGAGGTCCAGACTGTCCAGGGGGGCCCGGTGCTGTCCAGGGGTCCAGACTGCCCAGGGTCCTGACTATCCAGGGGTCCGGACTGTCCAGGTGTCCAGACTCTCCAGGGAGGCCCGGCACTGTCCAGGGGTCTGGACCGTCCAGGGGGGTCGGCACTGTCCAGGGGTCCAGACTGTCCAGGGTCCGGATTGTCCAGGGGGGCCGGCACTGTCCAGGGGTCCAGACTGTCCAGGGTCCGGACTGTCCAGGAGGGCCGGCACTGTCCAGGGGTCCGGACTGTCCAGGGGTCCAGACTGTCTAGGGTCCGGACTGTCCAAAGGTCTGGACTGTCCAGGGTCCTGACTGTCCAGGAGGGCCAGCACTGTCCAGGGGTCCAGACTGTCCAGGGTCCGGACTATCCAGGGGGCCCGGCACTGTCCAGGGGTCCAGACTGTACAGGGGTCTGGATTGTCCAGGGGTCCAGACTGTCCAGGGGGGCTGGCACTGTCCAGGGGTCCGGACTGTCCAGGGATCCAGATTTTCCAGGGTCCAGCACTGTCCAGGGGCCGGACTGTCCAGGGGAGACGGCACTATCCAGGGGTCCAGACTGTCCAGGGGCCGGACTGTTCAGGGGGGCCCGGCACTGTCCAGGGGCTGGACTGTCCAGGGGGGCCAGCACTGTCCAGGGGTCCAAACTGTTCTGGATCCGGCACTGTCCAAGGGGCCCAGATTGTCCAGGGGTCCAGACTGTCCAGGGGCAGGCACTGTCCAGGGGCCCAGATTGTCCAGGGGTCCAGACTGTCCAGGGGGCCCAGACTTCCAGGGGCTGGACTGTCCAGGGGTCTGCACTGTCCAGAGGGCCCGGCACACACAGGCAACCTCACTTGCAAGTGCAGTTCCCTCCAGAGGCCCCGCCGCCCTGCAGGCCACTTCCCCCTTCCTGGGTAGTCAGTCCGAGTAGGAGGGGAGGTGGCAGGGCCCAGTGTCCTCATACCTGCTGGGTACAGGCTGCCCCACTGGTCCCTGCTCTGTGGGAACACCCGGGGGGGGGAGGGGTGCAGGGCCCAGAGGTGCTGGAGGATGTGGCTCCCGGTGCCTGCCGGTGCTGGACTGTGTGTGGCGGTGAGGGAGGCCAGCATGCTGCCTCCCCGGAGACGGGCGCTGCAGGGGCAGGACCTCACGGCTGAGGGTACCGGGGACGTTCCCTGCATGGAAGAGCCCTCGGAGAGGCCAGGGCGTCACCAGGCTGGTGGTCGGGTGACATGTGTCAGGAAAGGAGGACGGTTGTCGGAGGCCGGCCGGCCGGCCGGCATCAGGGGAAGAGGAGACGGCCGCTTGCTGGTGGGGCTGGCAGAGACTTCAGGTGGACGCACAGGTGTGGAGTCTGGGCCGGAGAGCCCTTGGCCTGGCCCCCGAGTGAGGGGCGGGTGTAGGCAGGGCAGGCTTGAGCTTCGGACACTCGGCAAGGGGACAGAGAACGTCACAGAGGCCCTCGGGAGGACGCGGGGGCTCAGCAGAGACCCGGCTGCGTGTCCCGACACAGACGCTCGGGAGAGACGCGGCTGTGAGTCCCGACCGGCGTGCGCAGCCTGTCCTGCTGTCCTGCTCACCACGCCACCTCGACCTCGCCAGGCCCTTCCACGCTTGTTGCCTTTCGTCCTGACCAGGGCTCCATGCTGGACGCCTCTTTTCAAGCCCCCTTAAAACTCGAAGCCCGCCACTCGAGCGTGCGCCGAGAAGTCTGCGGTTGAGCACAGAAGACCCGCCCTGCTCCTGAGCTCGGGCCAGGCTGGGGCCACCACGCTCTGGGCTCCCGGCACCGTCAGGCAGGGGTGCCCCCTGTGTCACGCCCAGAGGACGCCAGAGCCTTCCCTGCCTCTGTGCTGGCCCCGGCAGAGCCAGCATGCCGATGCAGGCGTGAGTTCAGGAGAACGTGAGTCCCTGGAGCCCCCGGAGAACGGGAAGCCTGATGCGATGAAGAGACCAACGTTAAGTCACAGGTAAGCGTTTTCCAACCCCGACGTCCAGGAGGCTCGAAGGCCAGTGAAAACAGACTCAGAAAGGAAGCCCGTAAGAGTCACCGCGGAGCTGTCGGTGAGGCCACGACCAGAGTGCGGAGGGAAGCCGTAGGGAGACTCGGCCAGACCGGCACAGGCGGAGTCCTCCGGGCAGCTGGTGTGGCCTTCGGACTTGGCCTTCAGCTCGGGAACCCGGAGCCTGGAAACCAGTTTAACAGGAAGCACCAGCGGCTCCGTTAGAGAACAGGAGAAACTTCCGCCGTGTGCCACTGAGCACGGCGCTCACCGGTGGAGCAAGTGTGGACCCCACTACGCTAAGAAGGGTCGGAGACACCACTCGTCGCCCATTGGCGTTGATTTTCTGAGAATCCTTTTGCCGTCCCCTCAAGTCTTATCCGAGCAGGCAGTGTGAAGTAGATTGTGCTGTGCCTGGCGGGTGGGCGCGCTGTGGGCTTGGAGCCGCGTAGGAACGGCTTTGAAAGTCAGCGTGCCTCGATAAAAACCCTTTTTAATACATTAAAAGTCAGCAATTCTAAGAATTTGCTGGCAGGATCACCCTGATCTCGAACCCTCCTCGGAGAGAGTCAGAATCCCAGCTGTCTCCCTGACCGTTACAGACTGGACTGGGAACGTGATTCTGCTCTGTGCGTCTCGCTCCGGGGCCACAGGGACGAAACAGCAAGCAGGGCACCTGCTTTGTGCGCAGGCAACTCAGGGTCAGTGCTTGGCACCCTGAGACCACCCAGAGCGACCCTTGGGCGCAGAGCCAGGAGGCAGCCCTGAGCACTGCTAGGTGGAGCCCCCCCAAAAGGAATATCTCTCAGCCTTGAGTGAATTGACGGTCTCAGTTTCTTTGAATCCGAATGGACATTCATCTAGAGGTGTCGGGGTTTTCTTCTCCCCACAGATGAGCAAATCGTGATTTTTCCAGCTTTTTCTGACCGCAAAGACTCTGGGGGGGGGGGGGGGGGGGAACCCTTATTGAGAAGCAAGAAATAAAAAAGAGGCACATGTTTAATATGAACAGCTTAGCTTGGCGAGTTTGGACGTGAGCTTGTCCCCACGCCGCCGTCACCGCAGCCCCGGGCAGAGCAGCCCAGCCCAGCCCTCGTCTGTGTCTGCTGTGGTGGCCGGTGTGTGCGGCTGTCACCTGCCCTCTGCCCTCTTCAGTCTTTCAGCGCCCGGCTCGGCGCTCCCCTCGCCTCGGGTCACTGGCTGCTGCCCTCCGACCGAAGCAGGCCGTCTTCCTGTGGGCTCGGAGGGGTCTGGGTTTTAAGAGACGGAGTTACTTCCACTCAGATTGTACATCTTGAGCTAGGTCTGAGGATTCATGGGCCCCTGGGTTCAGATTGACGGTGCTGACGGCGTTGTGTGGGCGGTACCGAGGACCTTAAGCGTGAGTCCGTCCCCAGGACCTGGTGAAGGCGCTCGGGACACCGCAGCCTCCATCAGGGTCGTGCTGTGCAGACAAGGTGTCGGGTGTGATTCGGGGATACGCAGGGGGGGCCCAGCCAAGTCACCGGCTGAGAGGAACCCTGGCTCGCCGGGTGCTTGGGTGGGGGCCGTGTCCACGTCCACGGCAGGAACGTCGGCTGGGGGCCGTGAGGGTGCTGGGAGCGCCGTTCGGGGAATCCGCTCTGACTGTCGGTTTCTCTCCCTCAGGACGTGGCTCAGGGCGCAGGGGCAGCGCGCGAAGGGGCGGCCAGCCCGCACGCCGACCACGGGCTCCCCGAATGTGGCCCCACGGGCACCATGGACCTCAAGTTCCACGGCTCCCGGAAGCACGTCTCCATCACCGTCCCGCCCCAGACCCAGACCATGTCCCCGCACATCAAGGCCGTGGATGACGTCGCGGTGCTGGGCATCGCCCTCAGCAGATTCACCAAACTCACCCAGTTCGCCATCTGTGTGGCGGGGGTTTTCGTGTTCTACCTGATCTACGGGTACCTGCAGGTACAGAGGGCCCGTGTACAGGCCGTGACGTGAGGCCGCTGTGGCCTCTTCCTAGTCGTGCCCACCACCCCGCCCCCTCGAGAAACCCAGCTTACTCCAGAACCTTCCCGTGTAGTCGAAAGCGTGCTTTTAGAATCGGGGTGCTGGAACTAGGGGCCGGGGGCTCAGCGTGAGGCGCTTCAGGAGGAGGGGGGCAGCAGAGGGTCCGGAAACGCCGGAGCTGTGACAGTGAAGCCTGGAGGGTCTTTACCCACGTGTAGTCTGGCGTGGGCCGTGCGCTCGTGCTCGAGGAGAACGAACGATGCGGGCGTTGCGGGGTCCCGGCGGCTTCCGGAGCTGCCCTCTCCCTGCGGGGCAGGGCTCGTGCCTGCCTGGGGACAGCTGCTGACCGCCCGGGCTGTGGCTTCCCTCTTGGCGGCCACCGTGGCCACAGTGCCCAGCCTGACCCGTCTTGCCGCCCCGGAGCTGGCCTGGGACGCTCCCCCTCTGGCCGCTGTGGCGGGAGACGGGGCCGACACGACGGCCTCTGGGCCCTCCCGTGTGCCTGTAGCTCAGAGACTCCGACTACACGGCAACACGGCTCCAGGCTGCAGTGTGTCGCGTCGCCCTGGTGACACTCGGGCATGGCCACAGTGACTAACCGGGTGAAGGGAGCGGTCGCAGTTTCATGGTGAAGGCAGCTCCCGAGAGCGACACGTCTGTGGGAACGCCTGGGTGCCTCTTAAGTTCCTTTCAACTTCACAGTTCATAAACCACAAAAGTCCTGAATACCCTGCAGGCTGACTGAAACGACTCTAAATTGGTGCAGTGACAGCTGCTCTCGGACCACACAGAACACGGTTCAGGACACACTGCCCTGGGGAAGGCGCTTGTCTTCTGTGCAGCTAATACCAGTCGGGTTCCCAACACATATAATCCCCTGAACACGACTAGGAGTGTGACCCCTGAGCACAGGGCCAGGAGTCAGCTGTGAGCACAGAGCCGGGAGTGACCCTGAGCACAGAGTCAGGAGTCAGTCCCGAGCAGAGAGTCGGGAGTCAGCTCCTGAATACCAGTGGCTGAGACCCATCTCCCCAAGAAAAGAACCCAGTGTGGGCTTTCTTTAGAGAGAATTCACGTTGAACCATAAATTCAAATTTTTCAAATTTAATCGAGCATTTCCGGGGAGAGCATTTGGTTTATTCCGTTCAGCCCAGTGACCGTTGTAAGCCTCTTACCGACTTGTTGAAATGGACACTGACAAGCCACGCGAGTCTCTGTCACTTTGAGAGAGAACCCTAGACTGGCAGGGACTCAGAGGGTGGCACCTACCCGAGCCGACAGTGCTGTCAGGAACCAGGCCCAGGACCAACCCTCAGAGCAGCCTCCCGAAGCCCGGCGGCCCTTTCCGGCCTAGTCCTTGGGAAGGAGGCGGCCGGCAGGAGGCTCCTCTCGGTTCCCTGCGCTCCAGCAGGGGCTCCCGGGGTAGCCCTCAGCCGGGGATCTCCGGCCTCTGTGCCTGGGGGCGGGGGGTCGGGGCACGGCCTGCCCGGGCTGACCCGGTTCGCCTCTGTCCGCACAGGAGCTGATCTTCTCCATGGAGGGCTTCAAGCCCTACGGCTGGTACCTGACTCTCGTCCAGTTCGCGTTTTACTCCATCTTTGGCCTGGTCGAACTCCAGCTCACTCAGGACAAGAGGCGAAGGTGGGTGGCCTACGTCTTTCTCTCGCTGACGGTCGCGGTCTCTGTGATAGTTCCGTCTGACGTGAACCGGCGTTTCCCGTGCGTGAGGCGTTACGAGGCAGGACTCGCATTTTTGCCAGCTAGTTAAAGATACTGAACAATGGTGCTTCCATTATGCACCGGAGAAGAGCTCTCCCTCTAAGTGTGATGTAGCCAGGCTCGGTACCAAGATCTCTTGGAGCAGGCCGTGCCCGTCTGTAGCGGTGGGCTGGGCGTCTCCTGGGCCGGGAGCCACCGACCCTTTCATCACCATGATGAAACGAAGCACCGGTTTCTAGCACGGCTTTTGAAGCATGTGGTCGGGGCCTTGCCCACCCGCCAGCCCATCCCGGGCACCTCGAGTGAAGGGAGACTGCAGCTGGCATCCCGCCTTGGGGCATCCCCCGCTCAGCACCCGGGGCCTCTCACGGCCTGGAGCTGAGGCTGCTGTCTGGGCGGGCGAGAAGCATTCTGTCTTTGCCGGCAAAGTCACAGGAGCTCACACATTTGCTTGGCAACGACTTTTAGCTGCGTGGCCTGGGCCAGGGTGAGTTCTGGGGTGAGAGCCTGCACGCGGCAGCCCGATATTCCCACCCACCCCCCCCCCACCTCGCGCGGTTCCATAGCACCACCGGGAGTGACCCAGAACCAAAGTAATCGGCGCCTGTCGGTTTGCTCAGTATCTGGAGGCATTTCTAGTGGCACGCAGAGCAATGGCCATAGGCCCCAGCCTCCTAGCAGTGCTCAGTGGGCCGGGGATTTCCGTGGCCAGTGACCGTGCCCTTGTGCCCTGCGCGCCGAGATGCACCGTGCTCCCATGCACCGAGCAGTCGCGTTGCGCTGTGGGGCCGCAGACACTCTCGGGGCAGTGAGAGCAGTTCCCGGCCACTCTTTTCCCTACGCAAATGTCTCCCTGCGGTCCCCCCGGTCCTCCCAGTCTGCCTGAGCCCCGCCTTGCTCTAGCCAGTCAGTTGCCGTCGTTTGTCCCTGGTGCTCTGGGGCGGAGACCAGGAAGGCCAGGCCACGGGTCGCTGTGGTCGCGGGTGAGGCAGGGAGGGGCTCCCGCCCAGAGGTGGCAAGAGTCTGAGCGAACGCGGGGGAGATCCGTGGGACTCGCTTCCTCTCCTCACGCGCGGCCGCCGCCCTGAGCCCCAGCTGGAGCAGACGCGCCTGGTAGGCCCCGACGGGCAGCCTGAGAGGCCGGCGTGCCCCCGCCCGCCACCTGCTTGCGAGAGCACGGTCACTGCTGGTGCTAGAATCTCTCTCCCGCACAGAAATAGGAAGGCATGGCCCGGGGCCCGAAGGGGGGGGGGGGAGTTCTAGTGGCACATGAAGGCTGGACCCTCGACCGGCCAGCCCCCGGGGTGAGTGCTCCTGGAGGCCTCCCGTGGACACTGCAGAGGTGGGTGTCCAGAACGGCCGTGGGCCGGCGAGGGCGGGGAGCGGTGGCTAGTGTGTGTCGTCGCGGGGCCTTCTGCTTTCTGGGGCCAATGTTTCCCCCCTTACTTTGGCAAAGTTCTTCTGTGTGGGTCGATCTCGTTTCTTCAGCCAGTCTCGGGCCCTCTCTCACGGCACAGTGGGGAAGGGTCAGCCCTGGGCGGCCCTCGGACGCAGGAATGGTCTGAAGCGTCAGCCTTCGCACGAGGGGCTCCCGCCAGGACTTCTCGAAAAGCCAGCCATAAGGCAGGAGGCCGGCCTCTCGGCCGAGCCATTGCAAACACGTGACCTGGTGACGGCCTGTTAACCCGGCCCTGAATGGAGATTTCCACGTTGCCTTTTGCAGAATCCCGGGGAAGACCTACCTGATCATCGCGTTTCTGACCGTGGGGACCATGGGGCTGTCCAACACCTCTCTGGGCTACCTGAACTACCCCACCCAGGTCATCTTCAAGTGCTGCAAACTCATCCCCGTCATGCTGGGAGGAGTCTTGATCCAAGGTACAGCGACGTGCCCTGTCGCGCTGCTCAGCCAACGGCGTGCCCCGGGGACCTCCCGCAGGCCGCGTCCTGGGTCCTGCTCCTGCTCCTCCTCCGGGGGCCCCCACGTCCCCAGAAACGCCGGCTTGGCCTCCTGCGGGGCCCGCCCCGGGGTCCCCGGGAAACTCCTTCCTCTCGGCACTTTTGTGCCTCCACCCCGTGCGTGGTGCCCCACAGGGGTGGTAAGTAGAGCCCCGCTGCCCCCAGGGCCGCCAGGGTGGGTGCTCACAGGGTGGGTGCTCACCGTCCCGTGTCCCCGCCCTCTGGCTGCTGCCTCCTCCCGTCCGCTCATCCCGGGACGCCGTAGCCCCAGGCCGCGTGCTGAGGGGCCTCGGGGATTCCTCCGGCCCCCGCAGGAGCCCACAGGGGTGAGAGGAGTCCATCTCGGCCCCCTGGCCCTGGGCTCCTGCTGGACACTGTGAGATGAGCCCGCCCAGCGCCCGGCCGTCCCCACGGCAGCCCCCCTCACGCAGGCTCACGGCGGCACTCGGTGCCTTCAGGGACTGCCCGCCCGGAGTCGGCCCTGCTGACGGCTCTGTCCCCCCAGGGAAGCGCTACAATCTCGCCGACGTGTCCGCCGCCCTGTGCATGAGCCTGGGCCTCATCTGGTTCACCCTGGCCGACAGCACCATTGCCCCCAACTTCAACCTGACAGGTGAGGGGCTCGCCCGCCCACCGCTGGTGCCGTTTGGTTGGGAGGGAGAGTCTGTGATCTGGAAGGATCCTCGGGGTCATGTGACATTGGGGACTCGCTGGTCATAGACCTCCCGTTCTAGAAGCAGCACTCATGCCCCCCAAGAGGCCGTCTGGGCTCACCTGGAGATGCGCCAGCCCAGGGGTCCCTGCCGGCCTCTCCTGCAGATGCGTGCCGGCTGAAGGGGAACCGCAGTCAAAGGGGTCTCCATTTCCAGAAGCATCTGCCCCTCCCGGCAGGCGCTGCAGTGTCGTCCTGCAGCTGTGTTGGTCACCAGCTCGGAGTGTGGCCCGTCCGAGCTCCGCCGAGTGTGGCCGAGTCTGGACCCTCCGGCTCTCCTCACGGGCAGGCCGGTGTCGTCTGTGTCCAGGAGACAGACGCGGTGTTGGAGTCTCGGGGCTCTGGGCGGGAAGCTGCTGCTCTGAGAACAGCGTCCTTAGAGACTGCAGGTCGCACCCAGGGCGGCGAGTGGATGGGCCACCAGCCACTGTGCCTTTGGGACGGGCGGCGGGTGGCCGGTCACCGTCTCCGCGCGGCTGAAGGGTTTCTGTGGAGTGTGAGCGTGTTAGGATCAGTAGGATGCGGGCTGGCGCGTCGTGAGTGGGCCCGGAAGGTTCCAGCAGGTCCCCGCACAGGCGGCTAACACGGTGCTGAGCGTGGGCGCCGTCTCCCAGTACACGTGGGGCTGGCCGGGCACGCGTGTTGCCTGCTCCCTGGGGCGGGCGGGCTCCCACACCGCTCCCTCCGCTTTCTCACCTGGCCCGTGGCCTGGAGCGCTGCTTGCTGTCCACGGACAGTTGCACGCATGTCAGTGCCACATCACGGTGCTTACGGCAGGCGCCCAGCCGCCTTCCACGGGGAGCCACTGTGGCGCCGGCACCAACCCCGCGCTGTCCCTCTGCCCAGGGGTCCTCCTCATTTCCCTGGCGCTCTGCGTGGACGCCGTCATCGGCAACGTCCAGGAGAAGGCCATGAAACTCCACAACGCGTCCAACTCGGAGATGGTGAGTGTGCGCCCGAGACGCCAGCCTGCGTGACGTGGGTGGGTCCCCTCCCCCACAGTGCTGCTCCGGCCTCTGGCCTCTGCTGGTGGACGCTCCCAGCCCTGCCCGCTGCCTGCTGCAGTTGGGGCTCCCTGGGGCGCCTTCATGCTGGCCGCGGTCTGTGCCCTGCACCTGGTGACCGCAGCACCCCAGGCTTCGCGCCTGTTTGCAGAGTTGTGACAGACCCCAGCCGGGCCTCACCCTCCACGTTTCCACTTAGCTGGGGGACAGAGTTCCACACACTCACGTCTAGGGACAGGTCTTGTGTTCTGTGTTCTGACGTCCCAATGCCCCTGTCGGTCGATGTGGCACGTCTGCCCGCCTGCTGGCTGCCAGCTGCGGGGGGTGGCGGGGGTGGGGGGGAGCTCCAGTCGGGGTGTCTCAGGCCTCCCGGCCCAGCTCGGGGCACTGGGCCTTGGCGGGGTAGCTGGGCAGGGAGGTCATGGCGGGCCTGAGAGCCACCAGCACGCCTGCCTCGAGGGACTCGCCACACAGAAACTGGGCGGCCTGCTCAGCAGGGGGCTGAAAACCCTGCTGGGGAGAGGTGAGTGAGCCCCCCGTAACACCGGCACACACACTGCGTGCCGCGTGGGACTTGTGACAGCCCCCACGCTGCATTCGGTGTCCTTGTGACGGCCCCTCCATGCCCCAGAGTCCCTCATCCCTGGACCTAGATGGCAGGACTGCCGGCAGATGCCAGCTCAGCTCTGCCCAGGAGACTTTTCATGCTGATGGATAAAGCTTCAGGGCGCCTGGGGGTCAGCGTTGCTGTCCGGGCAATGCGCCTCGGTTGGGGTTTGTGCAAAGAAAAACTTGGGCCTTGTTGACTTATTTTCGATGCTCAGACATTAGACAAGATCTGAGCTCAGCGTTTAGACAAGAGCAGTCAGAAGAGGAACCAGGTCCCCTCTCTGCGGGCCAGCGTGTCTGTCCTCGGAACCTCGGTCAGACGCAGAGCGGGGCCACGTGGAGACGGTGCCGTCACTGTGAACGTTGCCCTGGCACAGCAGGGCCTCGGGGAGACAGTGCCGACTCGGGGCCCCGCAGGTGGCCCCGCCGGGCTCCGGGGCGGCTCGGCAGCGCGTCCTTCCTGTGTGCAGGTCCTCTACTCCTACTCCCTCGGCTTCCTGTACATCCTGCTGGGACTCGCCTGCACTCGCGGGTTGGGCCCTGCCGTGGCCTTTTGTTCCAAGGTAAGCGCCACGTTTCTAGGGCGGACGCCTTCTAGGAAACACTTTCCTCCTGAGCTCACTCCCCTTGTGCAGTGAGACTGTTTTTCTGTCAGTCGACGGCTCCTGTAGTGTCTGAAGATCAGAAATTATTCAGAAGCGAAATTGCTCTCGAAGGCTGTTTTCTCCTGATTCTACCCTTAAGTTAGCGTTTAAGCTGTTCATCATGGAGAAGTCGGGGTTTTAATTTCATTGTTCTCCCATTAAATCGGAGCCGAGTAAGAGTCTCTGCTTGGCTGCCTTCGCAACAGCGTGTCCCTGCTCCCGGAGCTGATTAAAATCTGTACTTGGGCCTCGTTTCTAATACCCCAGGGTGGTTTTGCGTTGGCGTAACGGCTCCTTCGCTGTTGCAGAACCCGGTGCAGACCTACGGCTACGCCTTCCTCTTCTCCCTCACCGGGTACTGCGGCGTGTCCTTCGTCCTGGCGCTGATCAAAATCTTCGGTGCGCTTGTCGCCGTTACAGGTAAGGAAGCGAACGAGCGGAGTGAACGTTCGTACGCCTGACGCGCTCTCTAAAGATGAGCTTAACCGCCTGAGGGGAGCGACGCACACCGCTAGCCGTCTAAGGGAAACCGCTCCTCTTTGTTGGGCTTGGTTTGCTTGTCAAATCAAGGACGTCCGTCTACTTAAGTAAGAGCCTCTGTTTGCCGGAGGAGCTGCCATTCGAAATACGGCGGCCAACGCCCAGGAGTAAAGTGCTGCCATCACTGGTACCGGAGCGGTCCAGCCTTGCTCCCCCGAGGCTGGCCTGGGGGAAGGGGACGCCTGACCCCGGCCAGGCTAAGGCGGCCACACAGTTCCCATCTGTGGAGGGACGTCGTGGGCTGCCTCTCAGCCCGTGTGGGCCCTGCCTTTCTCGGGTCCGTGGCAGGTTCAAGGCCTGGAGCACAGCCGGGCTGCGCCGCCACGAGCCCCCCCCGCCCAACACCACATTCCAGTGCCCATCACGCTGCTGCAGTCGGGAGGGTCGGGCCCGGTGCGGGACCTCGCGGGCTCGTCCCCGCAGCTCTGAGCAGCCTCTCCCCCGCAGTGACCACGGGCAGGAAAGCCATGACCATCGTGCTCTCCTTCCTCTTCTTCGCCAAACCCTTCACCTTCCCGTGAGTACCAGCCCGGCCGCCCCACCCCCGCCGGGGACCTTCCCCCCCCCACCTCCCCCGGGCCCTCGTGGGCGGCTGCCGGCAGATCTGCTCCTGGCCGAGCGCCGAGTCCTCAGAGTGTGCCTCCACCCCCTGATTGTCAGCCGAAACGTCCCTCCTTCCGCCCCTCACACACACACTTGGAGTGAGCGGGTGGATTTCTCAGGACCCAAGAGCAGCGTTTGGGGGTTGTCCTTGTAAGCCCCCAGCAACAGGGTTTCACCCTCCTGCAGAGTCCACCCAAACGCGGGGTTCTCTGAGGAGCCGTTACCTCGAGGCTGACCGCTTTCCCCTCGGTCCTTTCTCTCAGGTACGTCTGGTCGGGGCTGTTGGTCGTCCTCGGCATATTCCTCAATGTTTACAGCAAAAACATGGACCGGATCCGACTGCCGTCCCTCTATGGGCTGGTCGCCAAGACCCTGGAGGCCAGGCGCTCACGGCTGCTGCAGACGGTGTAACCGGGACTCGCACGGGCACTCGCCAGCCGTGCCCAGGACACAGCGCATGAGGGCGGGCTGTGCCGGGGGTGCCTGGGAGCGAGCACTTGGTGCGGGAGCACCGTCTGCGCCCTGGCCAGCAACTGGCTCCCACGTGGGGAGAATCTCGTGGGACCGGGGCCAGTATGGGGCTCGCCGTGCTCAGGAAGGAGGTTGGCGCCGGCGGGCGGACTGTCTCATTCCATCCGGTGGTGGTGTTTACACTGACTCGCTAGAGGAGTGAAATGATTGAAATTCTGAAGATAATTTGATAATAAAATTATTCTGATTTTTTTAAATGAACATATTTGGGGATTTTGTCACGAGGGACGCCAGGGTTGGGCTGAGCGGGTGTCCCCTGCAGCGGGGAGGGTGCCTGGGGCTTAGCCCAGCAGGATGGTCAAGTGCCCCACCACCCTCGGGGCTGTCCTCCGGCCAGAGAGCGGGCACACACGAGCTGGTGCCCACCTCGCCCAGGCTGACCAGGGCTCACTCTGGTGCCCAAGCACCACCTGGGGTGATCTGGGAGCAGAGTCAGGAGTCAGCCCTGGGCACGGCATCGCTCACTAGGCCCAGGGAAGTGCCCGAGACCTCCGAGTGGCTGCCCTGGGGGCTGGCTGCCTTCTGCGGCCCTTCCCTGCTCGGGCTGGCTCCCGGGCTCAGGACAAGCTGCCAGGCCTCCACGGACACCGTCAGTGCTTTCAGGGTTTCTGCGGCCCAGCACAGGTGACAGACTGTCCCCAAACGTGGCTTTCCCACTGCATGAGGTGCGAGAAGCCCGTCTGTCCCAGTGCTGTGTCAGGGTGTGTGGTCAGGGCCTTGCTATAAACTGGCCCGAGGCCAGGCAGGGGCAGGGCCATTGGCCAGGTGCAGGAGGGGGTTTGCTGCCCGTGTGTGTGTGTGTGTGTGTGTGTGTGTGTGTGTTTAAGTTTTTTTTAGTGAAACACCATGAGGTACAGTTGTAGATTTACAAATTTTCGTGCTTGGGCTTCAATTGTACAATGATCAAACACCCATCCCTCTGGTTTGAGGGCCACACCCGGTGGTGCTCAGGGCTTACTCCTGGCTGCGCCCGCAGACCATACTGGGTCCTGGAGGTGGAACCGAGGTCAGCCACGTCCAGAGAAAGCTCCTTACCTGCTGTGTGTCGCTCCATGAGACCAGGACAGACACAGAGCACACCAGGTGCCCCCAGATGCCAGGAAGCGGGCCTAGCATGGAAGACCTGTGAGCACTCCCGTCCCTATTCGCAGGGGCGTGACCAGCGTGGACGCGCCTTTGGGAGGAGGCAGAGTATGCGTTCAGAGTAAGAAGGTGCTGCCTGGACAGTAACTCCCCACCGGAGTCCTGGCCACGTCACTACTGGGGCGACAGAAACCCCAGAGAGGGCGTCCGAGGGGGACATCTGTTTCCAAGACTTGGCTGTAAACAGATGCTGCCCGGCACGACTTCGCACTTGAGTTGCCGACTGAAGATCAGGAAGGCCTGTGACTCGATCCGCCCTGAGTGGAATCTCCTCCTGCCTCCGATGACGGGGGCAGCCCGGCAGCCCAGTGCGAGACCCTGTCACGACACGCCCTGCGGGGCTGCCAGACCTCTCGTCCGTTTCCTCGGCTGCTGTTTTCATGGGCCAAGGCAGGTCCGGCACCGCCCAGATACGGCTCCGGAAGCACCAACAGTGAGAAGCCTTCGCCTCGTCCGTCGTACGGGAGAACACTTTATTTTCCTTCTGTATGATCTCTTCAGACTGGAGTGATAGCACAGCGGGCAGGGCATTTGGCTTGCACACAGCCGACCTGGGTTCGATTCCTTCGTCCCTCTCAGAGAGCCCGGCAAGTTACCGAGAGTATCCCACCAGCACAGCAGAGGCTGGCAAGCTCCCCATAGCGTGTTCAATCTGCCAAATACAGGTGTGACAAGTCTCACAATGGAGACGTTACTGGTGCCCATTCGAGCAAATCGATGAATTTGGGGAGAACAGTGCTACAGTGCTGTGATCTTTTCACTGGTCGGGGTTCCATGGTTTCCTGGACGGTTGGCAGCGGCTTCTCCTGCACGTGCCTGTCTTTGGGGCTTAGACGGGATTAAGATGCTGCCTGTGGCCAGACTGAGTTGCCACTGTCCGAGCAAAGCAGACGTGATCGCGGGGGCAGGGGGGCTGATAAGGGACACCGGCTGGAAGGAAGGAGAGAACGTTCTAACGTGCCCCATCATAGAGCCATGGGCCAAGGTTACAAGGCCACCTGCCTCTCGGGGAGGGGACCCCGCAGCAGAATCTCGCTGCAGACGAGGCCGTGCACCCTCTTAGTTGAAACAGCTGCCTCCTGCCAGCGCCCTCTCAGCAGGTTAAAATGGCCCCTTATCTTGCAGCTGGGGAAGCAGTAACCAAGCGCCCGGCTCTGGAGGGTGCATGAGCCTAGCACGGGGCAGACCCTCGCTGGTGCAGCAATGGTGGAAGGTCTATGAGGGCATTCGGCCTGAAGAGACCCGGGACGAGTGATTGCGGGCTCTGAGCCGCGGAGGGAGGGCTGGTGCGCGAGCAGGGCCTTCGCCCCGGGACCCGCTGAGGAGATGGCTTCCAGCTGATGGTGGGGATGGTGATGATGGAGATGACGGGGATGAAGATAATGGAAATGATGGGGATGGTGGGGGGGGGTGGGGGGGGGACCGTGACGGTCCTGTGGGAGATGAAGCCAAAGCCAGTGACTCCGAGAATAACAGGCACTGCAGCTTTGCCGCCCTGTCCTGGTTGCTGAACTGGACCCGCCTGCGATTCTGAGGTGATGACCCAGCAGCCCGGGTGGCCGGCTGCTCCGTCAGCCGCGCGCACACACGCACACGCACACCCACACACACACACACACACGGACGGAAACAAATGCGCTTCTGCGCTCCGCTGTTGTCAGAACTCAACAGCTTGAGGAGCACAAATATTCCGCAGTCACTCATGAAAAGAAATTTTTAATAATAAATATCTAACAATTAATGGGCTGGTGGCCGCGCCTGTCTCCGGGGCATGCTATCTAATTTCCTGGCGGTGTCTCCTTCCCTCACCGTTCACGCTGCAGCAGTCTATCATTAAGGCCAAATGCAGGTTCCTATCACTTTTATTTATTTTTCAAATCAACTTATAAATCAGTGCCAGGCCTTGTTACAGATGAGCTCCAATAAATTATCGGCTGTGGACAAATTCTGAATGCTAAACAGGCCCCCGTCCCCGGGCCTCTGCGCCGCCTCCACTGCGTCCCCCGGCTCAGGGGCGAGCAACCCCCCCCCCCCCGCGCGCCTCTGGGCTGCACCCTCACCGGCGGTGCTCAGGGTACGAGCAGCGCAGGCCCTCGTACTTAATTATGTGCTATTTAAATAATGCAGAGACACTCCTTGTGCAGGGGAAAATATCAACAAAGGAGGCGAGGATCATTTCGGTCCTTGGGAAATTTTCCTTTGTGGAATTCCAGGCGCCTGTTAGGGGCTTTGACGCCCGCCCTGCGGCCCGAGACGAGGTGGTTCTCCCCTCCGCTCGGAAGCCCACCCCCTCGGCCAGGCCGCCCTGGGACCCCGGGGGTCCGCTGAAGGGGCAGGAGACGACACGGCTGAGGCTGAGGCTGAGCCGGTGTAGGGGCTGGGGCAGACCCGGGCTGACCGTCCTCCCAGCACCCGTCTGTCCCCCCTGTGGCCCAGCAGGGACACGAGGAGGGACGGCCCCTCTGAGCAGGAGCTGGAGGCCAATGAGTGAGGCGGCAGTGGGAGGGCCGGGCACGTCCCGGGACAGGGCTGGGCTGGGCTCCCAGGCCCAGCGACCATGAGCACGGCATGCAGCCCCCGGAGAACCCCAGCGTCCCACCCTGTGCCGGGAGCACATGGTCGCTGGCCTGGGGGGCCAGGGCACCAGGCTGGGGTGTCCACGGTAGCACGCAGCTCAGCATGGACAACGCCAGCCTCTCACCAGGCACGCGAGATGGTGGGAGGAAGGAAGGAGAGGATGAACGAACAAGTCAGTGAATGAATGAATGAGAGAGTGGAGGAGCTCCCGGGGGCTCTCTGGGGGGCGGGGCTGGGACGATGCTTCCCAGTGGGAAGGTCTCACAGCCAGACGCTGCGGCTGTTGGTTCACGTCACCCGCGTCTGTCCTTGGAAGCGTCTTCGACCGTCACAACATGGGCAGGCACAGAGGGTTCTATGGAGAATCAGCTGGCTGTGGGCCCGAGGCCCAGTCACATGCACTCCAGGCAGGACACAGGGTGGAGGACTCGCCGTGCACGTGGCTGGGCCTGAGTGGCCATAGCACTGCCAGGAGTGAGCCCTGAGCACAGAGCCGGGAGTGAGCCCTGAGACAGAGCCGGGAGTCAGCCCTGAGCACAGAGCCGGGATCAGCCCTGAGCACAGAGCCGGGACTGAGCCCTGAGCACAGCCGGGACTGAGCCCTGAGCACAGAGCCGGGAATCAACCCTGAGCACAAAGCCAGAAGTCAGCCCTGAGCACAGAGCCGGGAGTCAGCCCTGAGCACAGCCAGGAGTCAGCCCTGAGCACAGAGCCGGGAGTCAGCCCTGAGCACAGAGCCGGGAGTCAGCCCTGAGCACAGAGTCAGGAGTGACCCTGAGCACAGAGCCAGGAGTCAGCCCAGAGCCGGGAGTGACCCCGAGCACAGAGTCGGGAGTCAGCCCTGAGCACAGAGTCGGGAGTGACCCTGAGCACTGCTGGGGCAGCCCAGACTCCCTCCCGGGAGAGGATTTTTCTGTGGCAAGCACCCAGGTCCACCGAGCCACAACCACAGCCCCAGAGAGACTTTTCCCCTGAAAACAAGAGCCTGGGCCTGTGCAGCCGCCCCACGCCCGCGGCCGAGTCCACGGAGATTCCTGAGGAAGGTGGTGAGCCCTGAGCAGTGCTCGCCACTCCTCGTCCTCCTCCTGCTCCAAATCCTGGCTGGGGTGAAAACGGGGCAGAGTCCTCCCCCGGGTGCTGCCTCTCACTGGGCTGCCCCCCACAGGGGGCCTCCGGGCTGCCCCTCTGCTGTCCGTCCACACGGGCCTCATCTCTGTGCCCGCACTGGACAGAGATGGGACACGGGCGAAAGCCAGGGATGTGCCCGAGATGAGCCAAGTGGGAACAGGGCACCCTGAGGTCCCCACCCGGGGCCTTGACGGCCGCCAAGAAGACCCGCCGCACACCTTGGGGGGGCTTGCAGACCCTCTAGGGCTGCACCCTGAGGAGAC